TATCCATGCTGAAGCAGCCGGTATTGCCTCCCAAGGATGTGGACTGCTCTCCCAACAGCTTCTCCAGTTCTGACAAACGCGAGGCAGCCAGGGTTGCCAGTGTTTGGAGCAGCATGGTCCAGGTGACCCATGCTGTCTCATCTCTCTGCTCCACCCCTCTGACAGCAGGGCGATGCTGAGGCACAGCACACCCAATGCTTCAGCTCCACAGGGAGCAGCTGCCCTTGGCAGCGCCACTGCAGGGATGTACCAGCTCTGCCACCCACAGCCGCACACCACCTGCACACCTCACAGGGCACTTCCTCTGCAGCATGCACAGCACTTGTAATCACCTTTGTAGCCTGTTTGTAGCATCATTGTAGCCTGTCACCCTGCCCCAGTGTCCCTGAAGATGAATGGACTGCTGCACCCTTGTGCTGGGTGGTGGGAGGAGGCTGTTTGCCAGTCTGTTTGCAGAGGTGGCTTTGACAGAGCCAAGTGCTCGGCTCTGCACCAGTGGTGCAGTCCAGGCCAGCGGCCTTTACAAAGGACTGTAGTGCAGGCACAGCCCAGCTTCCCTTCCCCTTGCGTGGTCTCTGTGCTAGGAGCTCTCTGCCATCTCCCACTGCTCTTGCCCTGGATCCTGCAGACAGATGGAGGCGGTGCGTGGAGAAGGGGACGCTGCTATCCAACACACACCCAGTGCAACAGCAGCTCCACACTCCCACACAGCAGCCCAGTACAGCAGGCTGCCCTTCTTGCCAGCCTCCTCCTCCCTGGCCTCTGCCTGCAGTGCTGCTCACACAGCTCGCCTCCCGGAGCACTGACTCAAGTACTACCCAGGTCTGTTACGCTTGAGGGAGGAATCCAGAGGCTTGCAGCAGGTTTCACTGCTAATACCTGTCCAGGGAAGGTTAGCAAAAAGGGGCCAGGCTATCAGGGGAAGAAGAGGCGTCTGAATCCTAGGGAGCAGAGGGAGGCACTGTGGGTTGACCCTGTTCATGTATGAGCACCAACCTTGCTCCTGGGCTAAAGTCATGGCAAGAAGGTCAGATGCCCTGCAGAACCAGCGGCACACACTGTCCCTCAATACACTCTGTGTATTAATTCCTCTTCTCTTGTGCTTAGCAGCACATCTCAACCCTTCTCCAAGCTGCAGTTCTGCACCCTTCTTTCTCCAGCCCTGGCTGCTGTGCCCACCTGTGTGTGGAGCTGCCACAACACTTACTAATAGGGCCAGCAGGTGCAAGAGCCTGCAATTTCCATCCAAGCTTTTCACTGAAATGAAAAGCTTCTGCAGTCTGGTCTGAACCCAGGGACCATTGCAAGGTGTCTCAAGGCTCCTGCGGTAGAGCTGCCTTGTGTTTGAGGGCAGTACCACTTCTAAAATTCACCCTAAAAAAACAGAACTGCCCGCACTGGTAAAACTTTCTGTTTACATCTCTTGCAGAGACTGCCAGGGTTCTGCCATCTATTCAGGAGCCACAGATGCATCAGCTTGGAGGCCTATGACAAGTCAAGCTTTCTCATTTTTAACAGCTGCAAACAGATAAGGCAATTGAAAACAACAGACTTTTATCACAACAGCAGCAAACCTTACCTTGGATGAATCATGGCTAAGCAAGTAATGTTTTCAAGCACCTTTCCATGCCTAACCTGCTTTTTCATATCAGCTGTAGCAGCACAAGCTGCTCTACACTTACATTACAGCTCAAAGGACCCAGTGCCTCAAGTAGAAAATGCCTATTTAGAGGGAAAGATATATCCAGTGTCTTTTGGACCTCATGAATGGACATATTAAAATCACTCTGACTGCAGTAGAGAAACATGGACATGAAAATATTGCTGGTAAATAAAAAAATAACACAGCTGTCAATCAGCACCTGGAAAGAGTTTACAGAGCCAGACAGAGAATTACATACCACAGTAAGAGGATTAAGGGGTAGTTAAAAGATAGTCATAGCACCGAGAGAGAGTGAAAAAAGGAGATGACAGGTCCCCTTTGCAAATGAAGAAGACACATGTTGCATCTGTCACTGGAGAGGCTGCAAGGGAGAGCTAACAGGGCACAGCAGGGCTCGGATGCACAGTTCCCAGAGAATGAAGGAGCAGATTCTGCGCAAACCTGAGACGCTGCTTCAGAAATGAACTGTAAAAAGAAAACCACACTGTGTGCCCAGGAAGCTTCTCTTCTGCTCAGAGACATTTGCTAGTGAAAAAAAAAGATGTTTTCTTTAAACACATCTATGCTTTCCTGGCTTCTTGTGGCATACGAGTGCTTGGATTGAGATAGGGGCAGATTAAGATAAAAGGTGAAGAGGTCCAGTGCAGTGGCCCATTTGAGAAGGGCTCAAACAAAGGACACAGGAAGAGCAAGATACACTTTGCATTAGGAGTGCCTGCCTTCTCCTTCCAGCTCCTAAAGGCATCGGGGAATGGAGAAAATACAAGCTGTAGCTCTGAATTTCCACATCACCTAGGAGACAGCAGCCCAGAAAGAAGAGAGGAGGAGGGGAAAAAATAATCTTTCAAGGATCCTTCAAAACAATCTGCTTTCCTTTACCTATTTGCTCCCCAGAGAGAAGAGCCAAAGGACTGGTTAAGACAGTCTTGGCAGCAAATATCCAAACAACATAGTATCTCAAAAAGATAAAAGTTCATCCCTGTAATAATGTGATTGTTTCTGGTCTGGAGCAAAGGGTTCTGCAGAGAAAACTGCTCCAAGACAGCCAGAGTGACAGCTTAAAACACCCTCTCTGCGTAAAAAGAGTACAACTTGCTATAAGCTTTCATCCTCTCCTGTTTACCAAGATCTTGCTGTTTACTTTTCATTGGGTATCTGTTATCCAAACCAATTTTTAACTTTGCAACAAACCAAAAATTAATTAAGGTTTAAGGCTTCTGGATTTTATGGCCCGAGGCTGTCTGTAACAGTGGGCAGATGGGAAATGAATACATCAAAGATTCCAGATATCTTCCTCATCAAGAGCAGTGGTTTGATTTTGGCTGGTTTTTGTTAGGCGTTGTGTTTGGTTGCTTGCTTTTGTTTTTTTTAATAAGAGCAGCCTTGTTGCCTGTTACACAGACAGTCTGAGTTGTTTGCAAACCGCTTGATCCAACACTTGAAAGCTAAATCAGAAAACAATGGAAGATGGGCCACCTTTCCTAATGAACGGGAGGCCACTCATCGCACTAAAACCACGCAATATTGAGTTGAGCTGATCGAGTTCAGTTTGGACCTGGTTTTAATCAGCAAAGATATCAAGCTCTACTGATTGGATCTGGCGTCTCCCTCTGCCCCCCACGCACTCCTGGAGCACGCATCAGGCACAGAGATGGTTGTTTCTGTCACATGCTTTAGTCAGGGTACCCCAGGGTTTGCAACAAAACAAAAGGACTGAGCATGCCTAGCATCTTGGGTTCGTACCTACACCACCTGCTTCTCTTTCATCTCTTCCTTTTTCGCAAGTTCTTTATCCTCCCATTACCTCCAGTCTTTGAACACTGTATTAAGACATTATGTCATAAATATTCCACGAGAATAGGCTTACAGCATGAGCAACCTGGCTTCAGGATACGGACTGGTATCCTCATGCTCTCTCACTTGGATAGAGAATTGCTGAACACAGGATTAGAGGAGAACGCCTCAGTCATACAGCCTACTCATCTCCCCTGCACCGAGCAGCTACAGCACTGAGCCCTTCGAAATTTAAGAGACAGTTTTATGAAGAAAGATGTTTCTTTCCTGCTATCCCTCGTGAAAGGTTAATCCAGCAGTTACAAATGGAGCATTTAGGAAAGCTGAGTTTCAATTCGCTGCTCCACCCCACATCTTCCACACAACCCTGAGCTCTTACAGCCCCAGCACCTCTATAGAGCAACCCTCCTACTTCACCAAGGTGTTGCAAGTGTCAGATGTATTTAAGAGCACGAAGCATTCAGATACTATGGAAACCAGGGCAAGAGGGGGGAAAAAATAAAACCAAACAAAAAAACCAAACAACCACCACACCCCAAAAATAGACGTAAGATGCAAGCTGTTGAAGTCTGGAAAAGCCTTGCTAAGGAAGGCTGTGTTTGCTGCAGCTGATCCCAGATTGGGATCCATAAAGTGCTCAAGCATAAAATATCCTCTCTCCACT